ATCCATCATTTCGTCCACCTGAATCCACTAAATTCAAAAAGAATGTAGAATTTTCTCACTACAGTAGCATAGAAAAATTGCAAGTCAGGTCTAGAAGAAAAAATGAAATTCTCAATTTATCTAAAATCACTGGTCGCAAGCGAAAAGTTTTATTTTATGTATATTATTTATGCAAATTGGAAGAAAAACTTCCTTACCTCTCCTTCGAGAATGTTCTCTTTCTCAGATGCATAGTCCGTTCCAAATATGCCGACTAAACGAATTTCGCCGACACTTCTTTTTTAATTCTCCAGAAGGACTCTTCATCAATACTTACTAAGCATTTTGTCCTGTTTGTCATAGAGAGCCAACAAATTGTCGGTTTGTTGTTTGTAAATTTCCATAATTTTCTGTGCTGTTTCGTACTTAACCCTCGACAGCTCGAGTTCCTAGAAATGCACAGATGACGTGGCTCTCTTTTAATGTAGATATTGCCATACCTTCTCAACAGCATCTTGCTTATTGAGAGCATCTTCGTACTCGGTTTTTTCTTTTTCAAAACGAGAATCCCATTCCCCCTGAAAATAAATGTTGATCAGTATCCGCTCGCGACAATCTTAACCGCAGTTACACTTTCTTAGCCATAAGTGTTAATTCAAAACTCAGAAGTATGCGTAAACAGGCGGTATTGCTGCAGCACAACCGATTTTACACACATTTTAGAAAATTTGCACAAATTTGCGCATAAAATCTAATGAAGAGCACTCTATCGATTTTTAGCGCTCAATAAGATGAAACTTACGCCCAAACTTAGCTATGAAGAACATGAATTTTTAAATCGATTTCCATTCCATAAATTTCATTGGAAACTAGAAACATGGGGAAATTGTTTGTGAGGTTATTTGGGCCATGTGTTCACTCAGCGAAAGTTTGCATTCGATCTCCTCAAAACAAAATTTGACGACCGCGTCTCCCGCAGGGTCCCCGTAAACTTCGGTTCTGTGACACTTCGCTGGATTTTTTGCTCTGGAGTTATCTCAAGGATAAGTTTTACGCCATAAGCCCCAAGATGAAAGTAGCCTTAAAATTAACATTACTCAGGAAGTAAATTGAATCAATGCCTAAATATGTGTTACCCAAAACTTTCCTGGGTTAACTTATGGCCCAAATGACTTTTCACAAACAATTTTCCATTCTAGTTTCCAACAATTCACAAGATGAAATCCTATTAGAAACGTTTTATTCCATGAATAATTTTTGACGCGTCTCACACCTTTGATCAATCCATGCAATTATAGCATTCTTTTTTTGGATAAGAATTTGAGTTAAAGTGAAATACCTGCTGTTTTAGAAAGTCCTTTACTGATGGTTGTTCAATATTCTTTAGATCTGATTTTTCGCGTTCTCTGAAAAAAAGTTTTCCTTTATTTTTGTTATTTTTAATTTTTAATTGAATCATTTCACATAAATCAGCAGAGGATAACAGTGATGGTTCTACGGAAACTCTAACTCTATAGAGTTAGCAATGCTGGTCGGAACACACAGTGCAGAATGAAGATAGTTTGATTGAAAGGTTCCGCCAACTTGAGGAGATTTTATAATGTCACATTTAACGTAATAGAGATGTGATAAGAAGAAATAGCTTTTTCAGCCATTCCAGCAAATTAAAGTTGATCAAACATTCGTTTTAATGTTTCTGAAGATGTGAGCCATTCTTCCACTCCTTCCACAATCTTTTTTTGATGGTACAAACTTACAAAAAAAAACCTTACGTCTGTTTTTTCAACTCCTTTAACACAGCCTCCAACTGTTCAACGGTGTTCTTCAAATTATCGGCGTAAATTGTTTGTGATTCGTACTTCTTCAACACGTTTTTCCTTTCCAATTTGTTTATTGCTTTTTCTAGATTGATGTAATCCTATAATGTTTTTTTTTTGCTATAGAATTAATTTCGGTGACTTCGAAAGCCATAGTTTTACCTGGACAACGCCTTCGGTAAGTTCAATCCTCTCGATATTGACTGATTTCTTGTCGGAATCGTTACTGCGTCGGCTTTTTCGGTCCTCAGCATCGCTTTTTGAACTCAGCTCATCATCGTTCGGTGAGGTAATTGGACTGATTTTTGGGGATTTCTTATCTGATAAGCACTTTTCTATTGAATTGCTCATTGAACGCACAATTATAGAGTTAATCAGATTTACTTTTGCTGAATATCGATTTCTTTTCATCATCGGATTTATCTCCTGTAGATGTTTTCGTAGAGGTATTGTCAGCCCATCGTTGATTCTTGAAATATGTATTTTCGATCATTGCAGTCGACATATTGGAGGCATTCTTTGGCTTGCAATTCATCTATTACCTTGACCATCTTCAAAGGCAAGCACTAAGCTATGAATATTCGAATATTTGAATATTTGCGTTTGTTATACACAATCATCTGTTACTAAATTACATCTCTCAAGCGTACAACTGCAAAATTTGTGTCAAACCCCCAATCATCTTACCTCTTTTGTGCGACCTTTTGAGGCACCGGATCCCATCTGATGGCGCTTCGAAGATTTCGACTCTTTACTACGTAGTGGAATTGTGACCAGAGAATCTTAAATAACATCTCTTATAGTTGAGCTACTCTTTATCTAAAATAGACTGGAACGAACCAGATAAGAGACTGAAAGAATGGGAAATGAAGCGTCGTCGAGGTTTCTGCCGTTTTCGTCTTGAAACGACCGCTCACCATGGCGACATCGTAGGGAAGGATGGGAAGGATTTGTGGATGGCGACGA